TGTTGATCCTTCAATAATCTTTTGTAATCTTTCCTTTCTTTAGAAGCTTGTGAAAGTTGTCTGAGGAAGCTTCTCCTCCTTCGCCCTCTTTACCCATCACACATCCCTGTGAGATAATCTTTCTCTATGGTAATCAGTTTAAAATGAGTAAACGACTTCCCCTTTGACTCCTTATTGTCAAGTACTTCATTTTTTCCTCTCTTTGACTCGTTTTGTTCTCTGTCCAAGGAATCTTTTAGAATTGTCTGCATAACAAAGTCAATAACTTTTGATCTCAGCCTACTTAAGCACAGCAATCCACTGTTTCAGCTTGACCTCCTTTCCAAATGTAAGCATTCTTAGATATAATTGTCATCCAATAGATGACGTCCTGATAAGAAAGTACAATCTTTATGTATAATTCTAAAACCTTTTCGTAGAGAGTCGCTGTAACACAGTTAATAATATTTTCTTTTTGTCTCAGTCTTCATCTGCTTTAGCTTGATGTCCCTTCCATGATTTCACAGTTTACTAATGATTACCGGAAAACATGAATGCATTCTTAAATGTAATTAGTATCCAAATGATGATGCCCTGATTACAAAGAGCCAGCCTCCTTATGAATAATGTTTAAAACTTTTCGTAAAGAGTCACTTTGTTAAAAGATACGTTACACAAGGGCAAAAAAATAGCAGTATTTATTAGTAACATAATAGTAACAATGTCAATTTTTGTAGTATTGGTCAAACAAGAAAAATATCTCTCAGAAGTAAATGAAATTGATTAAAATATTTCCTTCGATAAAACTGGTCAATGGCTCATCATGGAATTTCAAAATCGCATAACCCCCACCCCACTCCCTCCTTCGTCACTTACTCCCCCTCCCCCCCCCACTCCCCCTCCCCACTCCCACCGACTTACTATTACATCTTTCTCCTGACCACTTCATCCCAAGTACACTTTTTTACTCTCTCTATGCTTTCCCAGCCTCACCAATTCCAACTTGGTGGCTTTAAGTAAGCACTGTTTATGTAGCTTAGTCTTCTTTGTTGACGCGGGTTTCGCTCTTAAAAACGTTAGTCACGCAAAAGTTGTTTGAGTCGTTTGGAGCTTTGCGTGACATGCTGCTAACCATCGGCTGCGAAAGAGATTATCTGATGAGTCATATATTTGTTTACGGACATTCTGGGAAGATTTCAACCACTAGCATAGTTGTACGTAAGATTAAAATTTTGGCAATGAAATTTTCCGCTCACCTCAAAGAAATGTAACCACCAGACAACCTTCTTATCAAATACAGCTCGTCGCGTGACCTAAAAATCACAGACCTAGCCCATAGATAATCCAATGACGGTTTTGGGTAAACTTTCAAGCGCCTTCATTTTATACTGTTAGAGCAGAGGAGTTATTATTGGCCACTGATGAAGACATCAAGGAAAATCCCTGCGGTGTAGCCTTTATGCTTTCAGTTGACAGAAATAGATTTGGCACTTCTGATCGTTTCAAGATTGTGTTGCGCAACTTAACACACCTGACGTCATTTCCGCTTCCTCGATACGTAAGTGCATTGAGGATATGACGTGTAAGATTATGGGATGGGGAATATTGTTTCTCCTTTGCAAATTTCTGATTTTCAGATCGTAAGTTTTATAGACTTGATTGCCTCATTGGAGAAATTGTCCCCGTTGTTGTTATTTGAGGATTACTTTGGAAATTTAACGCTAACGAGATGGGCCGACCGTGGGGATTTGAATAAACTGACTTTCAAGACAAGAAACCAAACCAGCTAGCCTGATACCCTTGCGATAAAACTCATTCCGTTTGAAGGGGCTTTCAATGCACAGTCATCTAGGGTCATTTAAGTTGTATAGTTTGTTTGATTATTTGTCTGTTTAAGCCCTCTTAACCCTGTCACACTCCCAAGAGACAGAGCTGAATCGAATAATGAAATGCTACGTCAGCGGGTATGCGGTCAACAACGCGGGCTCAAGTGTCCTATGTCTAAAATTTAGCGAAATTAGCGGAAAATAATAAGGGCTGACCTTTAAAACTGAGGAACTCTATTTTCGTCGAAGGCACTTTCCTATTTCCAAAGGTTTAAAGTAGAAAATTAATTTTTGAAAATTTTTAGGGGGTGTACCAAATTTTTGGAGGTTGTTCTGTAAAAGAAAAGCGGCAAGGTAAACGACGCCTCGAAGCAACAGAATAGGAAATGAACCATGCGAACGACTCAAAATCCGTGTTTCCGCGACAAAACCTAGCGCATGTGTATATGTTATTCAGCTCTGTCCTCTAAGAGTGACCAACACAGAATATCTCCTTACAATATTAACACAATATTAAGCAAACAAGAGATAAGAAAGTCAGGGGATTATTAGTTGATCCGATACCAAATTCTCCATATTAACATCGTAAGGATTGTGTGACAGACGGTAGGGAGAAATTACTAATTCGATCTTAGAAGTGAAAAGGGTTAAATAGCTGGAGGTAAACCGCGCTTAGAAATCTACTGCCAGGGTAGAAAATAGTAAGGTGGCAAAACAAAACATTACAGAACGAGGATGTCAACACCAGTGCCAACCCTTAGAATAGTTAAATTGCAAACAAACAGCTGACTTTTTCCTGAAGCTTTTGTCAGAATAGGACGAGTAGAGTACGCAGGAGTCTGTGACTAACAGTTTCGACAAGGTCACACACGAAACGATAGTAATCAATTCACATTCCCGTAAAAGCCACCCAATGCCTTATGATGGATAAGTTATGGACGAAAGAGTTTTTGCATAGGGTGAGCTGAGGGAGGAATTTTCCAGCGCCACTGAAGGGGAGAAGGGTGGGGAAATTTACAGACTGTGGCGTCGAGAAGAGAAAGATTTCGCATGCAACGGCGTATAAAATGTCTTGAGAATTTCCCCACGGGACTTCTACGACCAATCGCATTTCTGCCACGAGAGTGCGCAGTTATCTGACTACTAATTTGACATGCAACGGCTTTTAAGGCCTTTTAAGCAAGTGAGAAATTCATTCCCACCATTTATCTTGTTTTCCTTTTTCTTGAATCTGTTTTTAGTTATTATGAATTTAACTATTAATTAATATATTTGATGTATTTACTGAATCCCTCACTCCAGTGTGTGTCAGCAGTCAGTCATTTTAATTGTAGATATTCGTTAAAGTTCAATTTAACTTTGACCTGACTTGGCTTGCATTGTTCAGAATAAACTATTGAAACAATATCTCTTTTAAGGTAATGCATTTTTCTCAAAATAGATCTCTGTGCATGATCTTCTTTGAAGTCCTTCGAAAATTTTGACCACTTCATGATCGTGTATGTTTTCTAGCTTCTAGCTGGAAGCATTTAGCTCTCCAGTCTCTAAGATTGACTTCCAGTAGAAACCTAGATTGCAGACGACCAACGTAAAAATTTTGGACTACAGTTTTCAAGATGTGCAGTCGATGCGACTCTCCTGAGCAAATAAGCATGTGACTGAGAAAAAAAGGGACTCAACTGACATGAAGGTTCCGAAAAAAAATCTGCAATCTTCAAAGCGATGGCAAAGGAATTAAAATCAAAACTTGAGTGCCAAAATGGTTCATAAAAATAAGTTTCATCTTTTAATATTATTGTTTTTAATAACTTGAGTGCCAAAATGGTTCATAAAAATAAGTTTCATCTTTTAATATTATTGGTTTTAATAAAACTATGTCTATATCCGAAGAACATCGCTAAAGTCGAATGATAGCTGAGAAAATCCAGTCAGTATTTTTTGCAACCAGTGCCGTTCTGATTATTTTTAGCTGAAAGAGAAACCGCTCTTCTTAAGGTTTTTATCTTGGGCATCCTGGGTTCCATTCTACGCTACACTCTGCTGCAAACGCCATCTCGCTGAATTTTCACAATATACGACATCTTTGAAATCGTTTATTAGGCTTGTATAGTTTCGTCTTGAGTGCAGCCCTGGCAGCCGTCTCGAACACATCTCTTACTCCCTCTCTTGTTTTAGCAGAACATTCAAGGTAGGCATGTGCTTTTACTCTTTCACACATAACGGATCCTTCCTCACTCGATATCGGAACTCGTTTATAAATCGCCAGCTCTCTCTTCACATTTTCGTTGTGTCTTAAATCTTTCTTGTTACCGACCAAAATGATTGGTACATTTGGGCAGAAATGTCTTATTTCAGGGGCCCATTTTTCAGGTATGTTCTCAAAACTGTCGGGATTATCAACAGAAAAGCACATCAAGACAACGTGAGTATCGGGGTAGGACAGAGGTCGAAGTCTATCGTAATCTTCTTGTCCAGCGGTATCCCAAAGTGCTAGCTCCATCATTTTCCCATCCACTTCCACATCAGCGACATAGGTGTCAAAAACTGTTGGCACATGAGTTTCGGGGAATTCATCTTTGGAAAATACATACAGGAGGCAGGTTTTACCGCAGGCGCCATCCCCTACAATGACCAGTTTTTTCCTTACGGCTGACATTATGAATTCTCGATCTACAAAGCGAGGAAAGGAAATTAATAACTATCTAGCGTACTTTATATTAAAGTTAGTTTAACAATATTACGTAGCCTGTTATATTGAAGAAAAATTCCTATTTTTAAACTGAGATACATATGTATGAAAGCGATCCTCGCAGTAATGAACACTTCTTAAGTAGGTAGTAGTGAAAATAAGACCTGAAAAAAATATAGGCCTCTACGGTTTGAAATCCATGACCTCTATGATGCCGGTGAAGTGCTCTACCAACTGAGCTAACAAGTCAACCGGAAATTGGTCATTATGTTGGTTCGCATGAAACCCGTGAAGGGATGAATTTGAATTTAATAAAAGACAAACATTCAGTGAGTGCAACACCAAATTCTCCTGAGCAATTAACCAGTAAGTGTATAGCAGCTAGATTGGATTCCTCGATATATATTTTAAGAGAAGCCATGTTTTTGTTTGTCTATAGATACCTTAGCCCAGTCAAGTTTTCAAATTCATCACTTCCAGAGAAAGCTGCGGTCCTTCTAAATACTCAGATACCAAGAGAGCTTGCAGATACGATTGTAATTTGACAGGAAAACCAAACGAATCGAGTTCTGGTTTGATTATTGATTATTATTGGCTCATTTATTTTGAACTGAACTAAAGGAAATTTTCCGTTTTGGATCAACGGTAAGAACCAGTTATTAAAATTTTTGCTCCACTTAGGCTAAAGAAAAGGTTAAACTTTGGGTATATGATCGATTTTGTCCAAGAAACAATGACCATAAACTTTTCAAAGAATGGCACTGCACGCATCTATAGTAACAGTAAATTCATTTCAATAACACGAGCGTGCTTTGCGTTCAATATTACTTCGCCCGTAAAGCATTGAGGCGTAGAAACGGGAACCTTCCCGCATTGAAAACGTTAAAAAACAATATTTTTATGCTTCAGTCATGGGTTACTCGCGATATAAAGAACTGGGGTACTTTGAAGAACACTCTAAAAACTAAACTATGGGTTGCTTGGCCAACCGAGAAACATATGCTCTCTCTTAACTTAATTCTCGAGTGCGTCACATATCGATGAAGACACAGCTTTCGTACGAACCATTTGTTAATCATCCATGTTAAATTCACGAAGATTGTAGAAGCTTTTTATATCAGACAAAGATTCTCAGTTGGAGAAAAATAAATTGAGGAATTGACCACACTTTCTCAGTCATTCCTTAATACGTACCTTTATAAAAATTTCTTCGGACGAGGACGTGCTTGAACAAGCTTGAAATAGGCAAAGTGTTTGATATTTGACTTCGAAGTCGAATGTGTGAATGAGAGTTAGCTGTCAGATTCGCGAATTTATTTCATTCGAGCGGAGGAGTTATTATTGGCAACTGTGTATGACATCAGGGAAAATACCACTGGTTTACTATGAGGGCTTTTCATTGGTTGAAAACCACTCATCTATTTTTCAATTTTATACCCGGGCTTGAATGAACAGAAACACCGATGACTCATGTTTTAAATTTATGCAAACTAGGCTTACGATACATAATTATGCCAATCTATCAAAATTTCCTTCACATCTTGACTGTATTTAAAAAATAGAATCTATCGTGTTTATTTATTTATTTTTTGACAGGCATATATATATATATATATATATATATATATGAGAATTTAGATAGAATAAAATAGACGAGAATAAAAATAGTCATAGTATCATTGTCATAGCATGTTTTTAGAATTGTTCTCGAGTTTAAAAAAAATGCTTTCCTTTTTTCGCGTCAGGATGTCATGAAAATTTCATACGTTTTTGTAACCACTTTCTTTCAAAATGCGTCTGTTTTTTCGAGTGCTTGTCCTCGGTCATTACTGACGTCGAAGGATGTAATTTGATACGCTCTATCTGAAAACAGCCACAGATATAAACGCGTTTCCTGTTACTATCGATTTCATTTCTCTTGAATCCCCCTTGGGTCCGTGAACAGCCGCTTTTAAACTATCATTTGTTTAACCAAAACTTCATGCTGAAATTCTGTTCGAAAAAAGTAAAACTTTATCGTTGAAATAATTTCTTGTTGCTTTTAACGATGAGTGGGAGACGAGACTTGCGTGACACAAAGGGTGACGTCATCTCTGCTAGATCATTTCCTGTTGTGAAACATCTAAAGAATTCTTCTCGCACGTTTATCAATTGTTTCACAGTTTCATTTCACTGATTTTTTCCTCTTCATTAAGCCTGTGATTTTAAGGTAAGTTAAAGAGTATGTTTCTACGCTTTGCTTGTATCATCAATACAATAATGACAGATAGTCCAACCAAACACGAATTTCGCAACATTGCAAGGTCTGGCGGGCACGATACTTACATTTAACGTGCAGTTTTGAAGCCTTCAACAGTAAGGAAATTAGTTAGGGAATCATCTTTTTTGAGTTAAAGCTTTGTGCTCTGTTTTGCGTTTTGTGATAAAAGGGTATTCACCCGAAAATAATTTCAAATTATTTATTGGTCAAAAATTATATCTGAATCATTCGGGTCATCGAATCTGTCGACCTTCTCCCGAAAGACTGGGGGGAGGGGGGGCTGGTGTAGAGAATCGGACGCCATATGGGATGGATCTGGAAGGTGTATCGATTTTATGAGGTCACTCATTTTGAACGAACGGATCGCCAAATCGCACAGTAAGACAAACTACTTGGTTGGTTTGAAGTGTTAGGATAGCTCAGCTTGACCTTGACCCTTTCTCGCACAAGATCGGATTGAGGGTCTCAGTAGGGAAATGGTTTTTACGGCAAATAGGGAAATGGCCATTTTACCGGGCCGGAGTTGTTCAAATGAAACATTCTTACCACTTCTAATTTCACTTGACGTAATGCTGATTAAACCATTTCAAAAGAAATATTTTTCCAAAGTTATTTTATTCTATACAGCGCAATCAATATCGTTGACACTGAAACGTACGAGGAGGCTAGGCTTTCCCGTACGAGGAGGCTAGGCTTTCGCTCCGACGAAGGGCTGACGCTCGAAACGTCAGCTTTTGTAATCATTACGGTGGCCAATTTACCATTTCAACTTTGTTGATATATCCAAATTATTTCCCAAATTTTGTTTGGAAGGGCTGTAGGTCCACCTACCTCCCCCCCTCCCCCCTGCTCTGTCTATGTAACAAGCTTTCTATTTCACTTTTATCTCAGTCATTTGCAGATCGAGGATAAATCATGTCGGTAGTTAGGAAAAAGTTCGTCATCGTCGGTGACGGTTTATGCGGGAAGACCTGCCTTTTGATGACTTTCTCCGCTGGCAAATTCCCTGAAGGATACAAGCCTCGAACAGTTGAAAACGATATTTTTAACCTCAGCGTTGATGGCACGACAGTAGAGCTTGAGTTTTGCGATACAGTTGGAGAAGATGATTTCGACAAAGTTCGACCTCTGGCATATCCTAACACAGATGTGGTCGTCATGTGCTTTTCCATTGAAAGACCAGAGAGTTTGGAGAGTATCGCCAAAAAATGGACACCTGAACTAGCGCAGTTCTGTCCTAAAGCACCGATAATCATTGTTGGGAACAAGAAAGATCTTAGAGATGACCAAGGGATTAAAGAAACGTTAGCGAAATTAAATCAGTCTCCTGTGACAAGCGAACAGGGGCGTGCGATGTGTGAACGAATTAATGGACATGTTTACCTTGAGTGTTCCTCTAAAACTATGGAAGGAGTTAGAAATGTATTTGAAACGGCCGCAAGAGCTGCTCTTTTGAAGAAGCGTGATCGTAAGAGATGCTATATGCTCTAAAATCATCAAGAAATATCAGATTTTTCAACTTCTCAGATCTCATTAGTAACTCTCCCTTCAGGCTACTAAGCATATCTTTAAGGATTAGTTGGGAGAATTTGAAGTTACCGCTGATAGGCGCCCAGAACATTCCTTCCTTAGCTGCGCCGCTAGTGTGGCTTAAAAAGTGTTATTCAGTTTTAATCGTTATAATGCTCATCTGAATATTGTCATAGAAAAAGTAAATATTACCATTGTAATTGATTTAGAACATTGTTTATTTTATATAATTTCCAATAACATCAATATCATTGCATTCACACTTTTTCTTGTGAAAATATATCTTTTATGAAAATAATCTTACTTTTCCACCAGAATCTTACATCTGTAAACTTTGATAGGAACAAACCTATCGAGGACAACCAAACCGTATAAAAAGATAAGAATTTTGAATCCTTTCATTACTTTGAATTTGATCAAGAAAAGCTACAAACAATATTATGTCGACTTTTCAAGCAAAATATAGTTTTTCTCCTTAGATTGTCTGGAATTCAAACTTTTCTATTTTTCTAATGGATCTCATCAGACACAAAAGCAGCCATGAGAAAAAAAGAATATGAAAAGTTTAAATCAAACGACTTAGAATCGTACAGGACTTTTTTTTTTCTCGTCGTTTTTAACTGTAGACACAAACATGACAACCATTTGTACTTAAAACGTTTCAGCGCGTACTGACTTTAAAAGTAAACTTGGCGCTTGAGCCCCAAAATTCAGAGAGATTTTAAATATTTCTAATGCTGTACTTCACATCTAGCTATAGTATACTACATTTATACCACGGTCGAGGCTTGTATAGTTTAGTTTCCAATGCAGCCTTGGCGGCCGTTTCAAACACATCGCCGACTCCCTCTCTCGTTTTCGCAGAACACTCCATGTAAGCATTAGCTTTGATCCTTTCAAACATTGCTCGTCCCTCTTCGATAGTCACAGGCGCTTGGTTGAAATTTGACAACTCCTTCATCGCGTTTTTTTCGTGTCTCAGGTCTATCTTGTTACCCACCAAAATGAGTGGAACACTTTGACCACAAAAGTGCCTAACTTCAGGAACCCACTTCTCGTGGACGTTTGCTAAACTGTCAGGAATATCAATGGAAAAGCACATAAGCACAACATCAGAGTTAGGATAAGACAGAGGTCGCAGTTTGTCATAAGACTCTTGACCAGCGGTATCCCATAACTCTAGCTCCATCATTTTGCCGTCGACTTCAATGTTAGAGACATCATTCTCGAAAACTGTCGGAGCGTGAAACTCAGGAAATATGCCATGAGAGAACACAGAAAGGAGGCTTGTTTTTCCACATGCACCATCGCCAACAATGACTAATTTTCTTCTGATGCTCGACATGAGGCCAGCTGGTTTTCAATCTGTGCGAGAAAGAGACATGAGATTTGATTTGTAACTCTCCCTAGCCGCCTCTCTGCTGTTATATACTTTGTTAGTCTTAAATCAATTCAATTTCAAATCAAAGTAGGTTTTTTTATCAGCATCAGTTTGTGGAACAATGTTTTTTAGAGAGTGATTAAGGAAACGTTCCATTTTCTTCACTTCTTACATGCAGGAGTTAAAAAAATTTAAGAAACACCAAACTCATGATAACGTGATAAATTGAAAATCCTCCTGAGTCGGATCATCTCAACTCACTTAGTTGCGTAGGAAAAAACTCGAGTACTCGAGCCAAGTGGAGGTTATCTTGGTTTTCGTAACATTAAGCAACTACAAGTATCACTGCTCTCCCCTGGATGGGATGCTGATCCACCCCAAGGCTACCCCCAAGGATTTCATTAGACTTCCCTGAAAATTCGCCGTATCTTGTCGATGGTTGTGTTATTTCTTTAGTGAGCAAAGCCACTCATATGCCAATTGCGACTGTTACATTCATGAAACACAATGTATACAATACACCGAATTACATTTACTATAGTGGTTTACGTACTGACTAGATATTGACGATAAGTTTAAAATATTATCAAACATAGACCACATCAGACTCTAATCACTGAAGCCTGACACAAACCTTGCGATATTTTTTTTCTTCAAACAGTTAGCTATTGCTTATAGTGTAGACGCCGGCAATTCCATATAGATGTCAACTTACCCTTACAAAATTAAAGCAACAGGGCTCTTCTTGACAGACGCAGTTCTGTTAGAGGATTTACCGGTCAACAAACGACGTATGCAGAACGTAAGACTATCTCATGTAAGTAACACTGACTTTTCAGTAAGCCTCAAATTTATTATTTCACAGCGGATTGTTTATTATTGGCAACTGACGTAACACTTAAGTTAGACCTTGGGGAAAATCCCAGGGGTTTTATGCTTTATTTCCTCTAATTTATAAAAAGCATCGTTTATCGTTTATCCGGATATAACCAATGACATAGTGCGTCTTATCGCGAACCAGCGTGTAAAAATTTTACCCACCCTACATCTTACCACCAAACGGTTTACTTGAATTAAAAAAAGAATAATAATAACAAAAAAATCTCCTTAGTTTTGAGTTGTTTTATTAATTTCTCATTGAAAGTAAACATCATCAGCTATTTTTCCATTTCTTATAACAATCTGTTTTACGTGTCTAACACTGATTATAACAAAGCTTCTGATTCGACGAACGTAGGGACTTAAAATAGCTTCAGATATAAATCTGACCGGAAAATGAAAACGGTCGCATTTACATTCATCTTTTTGGAACAATAACATCGATTGAATGTACGTGCACTGCGTTTGAAGCAAAAGAGGGAAAATTTCTTGCTAGGTGATAAGTGAAAAAGTATACATGTTTCTTTAGGACGGCATTTAAAATTTATTTCAAACGAAATCCTAAACAGCCGAGTATCTTAAGATTACAATACTTTTGATTTTGTTACAATGGATTGACGGGCTTTCGAGGCCCAATAATACGTCATTTCTGGTTGCTCGACCTTCCCTTTTGTCAAGGCGTCCTCTAAAACTCTTTTGGTATAACATCAGTATTTTCTATCAGCCTCCTGTTGCGTTCGACGAAGGAGAATGCTTACCCTTCATGGGTTTTATTATGGCCTGGATTTTAATATACCGAGATAGAAATACCCTTTCCTAGGCTAATTGGTAAGAGGACTTCGTGATCGTCCGATTCGCTCTGTAATCATATATGAGTGATAACAAAATAGCGCGAGAGTCCGATTTGTTCATCACAAGTATGATTACATTAAAGACCGAATTGGACGACACGAAGTCTTATAACCAATTAATCATAAAAATTACAATTTCCTAGAGACGAGGAATAGCCAAGTTATGAAAGGCAGAGGCAATTTGCTTAAAAGACTGACAGAGGAGATGTCCGATAACACCTTGGAAAGTGAATTGGTGGAAAAATAGGAGTTTTTTTTTAAACCAATCACAATCAAGGTAATTGCATTTTTTTGTGATTATCACTGGTATAACTACCAGTCCAACCTGTATTAAGCGGTCACCCACGGGAAATATGGGAAGAAATACAGGTTGAAATATAGGTTGAAATACAGAAAAGGGAGCAAGGTTGGCGTAGTGGTGAGAGCGCTCGCCTTCCACCAATGTGTCCTGGGTTCGATTCCCGGACCCGGCGTCATAAGTGGATTGAGTTTGTTGGTTCTCTACTCTGCTCCGAGAGGTTTTTCTCCGGGTACTCTGGTTTTCCCCTCTCCTCAAAAACCATCATCATTTGAATTTATTTGATTTAGAGTCTATTTAGATTTACAGACGACCCCACAAGCTGTTCAGCTTTAAACATTATCGTGTCTAAATAAAGGTGTTATTATTATTATTATTATTATTATAAGGGTGATATTAGAAACGATGAAAACGCAATTTTATGTCACAATTGATCACTTAATGTTCAAAAACTCGCTCAAAAATACTACTTACATTTAGATAGGGAGATCTGAAATAAGGATTAAATTTTTTGTTTGTTTCATTTGAGTGATTCTGCCCAAAGTGATCATTCAATACAGGTGAAATGCTTGATTTCAATTGTGTCTTTAAACTCTTAAAAAAGGAACGGCGATACAAGTTCCTGTGGTTTATGAAAGTTTTAACATTTTTTTTTTTATCAGTTTAGAGGCAATTTACCAGCAAAATACAGATAGCGAATGTCGACATTTCTAATCTCAAAATCACGAGAAAAACGACAAATCAAAAGAGCGGACAAAGGATGGCTACAAAAGGAAAGCATTTAAACAGATTGAAAATCTTATAAATAGGGATGTTACCAGTCAAAGGCGTCAATTTTTGTTTCCCTCGATGCTTCGATCAGCCCAACTTGGGAATACCGCGCAGATTTTCCAGTAGAAACCTGACTTAATTGCCTTCGATATTTTTTCCTAGGAGTAAGCTAAACAAGAGATCTATTGAGCAGGACAATAGTTTAGCACAAGCATTTTAAAACCTTGTACAAATCTTCGCCGTTATCTGCAAATCAACAAAATTATTAATTCATTTTTTAATTGACTTCTTCATCAACGCTCCACGCACGACGCACTTTTGAAATGAACGTGCTGAGCGTTGGCTTTCCTGCCCTTTGACATTTTTAAGTCTCGCAACCATGGTGCTCGTTGCTCAGTTTCGCTGTCATTTTCTTCAAGTAGCCATGAGCTTCCCGGGATAATAATGCCTTTTTCTCCTGCACTGGTGAATTAAAATACCTGCCAAGACGTCCAAAAGAACAAAAAGAAATTATCAAATTGTTTTATCTTTGATGATTAGGACGGAATTTTGCAAAGAGCGGTCTCAGGTGATTAAAATTGATTGATTTACACTGTTTTATTGTTCTCTCATGCTAGATGGTACAGGGGAATCCTTGTTTACAATATTTGCCTCATTAGCATAGGCAATTCAGTTTCTGATGGAGCTTAAAATAAATCAGTTCTGAATATTGAAAGGTCAAAGTACGATTAACTCGGCCAAAGAATACGAGCCTGATGCATTGAATACTTTTTGTGCAACAGGGGATTAAAAACTCAAAATTTTACATAGAATGTATGAGCTCGTTAGCGCTTTTGCCACCCAGAAATCTTGCAGTTTTTGATTTTCAAAGCATATACCAGCGAACCATTCTTGCTACAACTTCAATTCAAGCTGCAATGCATTGCTATGCCTATTATCACTGTTCAAACTCGTGCCAGATCCTCAAGCTGGTTTCGCTCTCTACAATGTTCCTTCAAGTGTATAATTAAATGGTGATTTTAATAGTGTATTTTGGCCGAATTCTCCCGCGTGATACATACGAGCAAAATAAGACGTTCAAATTGTATGCCTTACTTTCATTGAGATTCATCCAATCACCTGTTCTGCTTTGGTTCAATATTTTTCCTCTACCGAGCTACTCCGAGGTGTTTTTCAAGGTCCTGTTTGTCACGAGTTTGTTGATGTTGTTTGTCACTGTTTCAAGAAATAATCCAGACCATGAAATACTTCAAGTAGAACCACTGATCACCGAAAAACGCGTTCCAATCGCCAT